TTAATTGACAATGAAAAGTGTGATTTGGGAGAGGCCTGATTTGTTCACTAATCGATGAACGAAAACTCAGCACAGATTCATCGGGCTAGCAGGACGATGAACCGAATACTACTTAACAGAATGCAGCAGTCACAGCTCCAGAGCAATCCTCCTTCGATGTCCGCTGAAAGTAATTTACTAATTATCTCTTTCACCAGTCTTTCTAAGACAAATTTTCAGGGATACCAATATCAATATATTTAGGTAGTCTTCCAAACTTTGTTTCTCTCCACAAAATTCGAAATTTCCTCTCGAAGTAATCTATCTCAAAAGCCATGCGACCTGGCCTGTAGTGACTCATCCGAACTCTTATTTCATTGCATCAATCTGCCCTAACTTGCTTCATCAAACGTTGATCCTTATCCAGCTGTTTCAAGTTTGGCTTATCGATTTTGCCAAATTTTCTCACGAAATTGTTCACCTAACCCAGCTGCCTGACATTTCGTGCAAATCGATTTGTTGATTTGCGTTTAATGTTAACTGTCCATTTAAAATAGACTTGACCTCTGGCCCAGCCTATACCGACTTTTCCGGGCTGAGGGCGCCGGCTGGCTCGCCGCCTCCAACCTGTAACACTCGAAAGCCAAATAATCGTCATTCCACGATCGTGTCGTCGAGTTCATGTGGTCGCAACAACAAAGGGATTTTGAGGTTGCGTATACGTCTCTCCAACAATTGTTTTTCATTTTCAAATATGCTTTCGAGGACTCCAGTAATTTTTGACTAAGAACTGTGTTCATCCACTTTAACCATCAGTCCTTCATCGCCTCAACCGGAATAGGGTGAACACAGCTCGGGCCTACACTTTGTCCGGATCATTCAATTACCGCCAGTCCCTACTGCGCCTTACCTCTTTACACAAAGCCTGCAACATAGCCAACTTTGGGCTACATCACTTTGTAGTCTTCCCATTTTTACACCCTTTAGACTCTTTTAGCCTTACTATTCAATCTCAAGCTTGGCGACCTTTACCATACGTCAGAGCGAGTAACATGAACATTAAATTAGCATTCCTTTAAGAAGGTTTTCGGGACTTCAAGTAGATCAGATATAAGAGATATGTTCACTCTATTTCATTTAAGGCGCTTAGGCTAATGGTAGTTGAATTTTTTCAAACTTATATGAATAGGCATTACGTTTCCGTTTAGTTTCACGCAGCTCTGCATCCCCAGAAGCTATTCTCATCCAGGCAGGAGCGGACCATAGTTTAGGTCTCGCCTGAACTGGGTCTCATCAGCTCCCTCAACAGGACTCAAGCAATGACAGTGCAGCGTATAACCTCAATACATCGAGCACTATGCCACACTGGCACAAGTCGCCTTAAACGAAATAGGGTGAATACATTTCATAAATCCGATCTACTGGTAGTCTCGAAACTCTACTTAAAAACGAAAAATAAGTAATATCGTCAGTTGATAGAGCAAAAATAACTTTTCTTCATCGAAAATCCCACCACAGAATGTGATATGGAAAAATACTTGGCCTTCCTTGAGATTCACATCTGCCCTGTGAGCTAAGGGCATTCGTGAGAATGTAGAGTAGTGGGTAATGTGTCGAGATTATAAACTGCTCTGTCATTGTTTGAGTCCCGCTAGAGGAGCTGATGAAACCAGTTCAGGCGAGGTCGAAACTGTGTGCAATTCAGTGGAAATGTAAGGTCTACTCATACGATGGTGGAAAAATTTAACTATTAATTCTTTCTTAGCTTATTCGGCCTAGGGTGACTGAACTCCTATTCTCACTTTAAAGATAAGTCAAGAGAGGCTTGGCTTATCATGAAAGTCATATCCACCCTGTGACCCACTGTAGCCCGGGGTCGTGTGTGTTTGTGTGTGCATTTTGGAGAGGGAGAGGGCGAGAGATTGTGTGCCTGGCACAGTAGTAACTTATTGCAATTTGACACTCACCACCCTTTTTACAGTCTCATTTGAGTATCGATGAGACCCGGGAAAAGTCGAACCTGAAGTTAAGTCTGTAGAATACATCCTTTTGGGAGTCAAGGTTATGTTAAATTAGATAGTTTCATTAAGTCTTCTACTCATTTTACTGTTAAAAATTCATCCATCGGCATCTTAAGGTGGCTGAATATTTAGCACTATAGAATACGGTTTTATGGAGAAAAAAGGGCGAATTTCCATTCATTACCTTTACATAAATCGGATCTTTCCTCCTTCAAGTTATCCGCTGGCCTTGCAAAATGCTGAATGCCGGCTTTCGTCTCGGTTAGAGAGGCAGGAGCCTTTCCTCTCCTCGAAAGCAGTGACTCTTCCTTGAGCTCTTCCAGACCAGCTAGATTGCTAGAGTTCATGTTGATCTGGTGGGATGACGGACTGACATTTCGAGAACTCGGCGATACCATTGCTCCTGCCGACCGTTCGGCGCTAACTCCAACCGCAAGACTTCCCGTACTCGATACGCCAATGGTGGAAAAGTTTCCCATAATGGGTCTAACAGGCAACGACGCAGCAGAATAAAGAGCCCCGGAGTTGTGATTTTCACTGCGTGAGTTAGTTCCCCCGTGTCGCTTGTTCTGGGCTGGCTTGGAGCGGTTCATCTCAATATACTGGTTGAAAATGGCTGGATCTATGAGAACCTGGTTTGTTGGGTTGCCAAAGTGGATTTGATAAAAATAAATGATCATAGGCAAGGGTATAGATAAAGAGCCTGTAAAGTAATTAAGAAATCAAATTAATAGTTTCAACAAAAAGCACTTACTTCGGGGATACGGCACTAGATGCACAACTTTGAGCGTCCCAGAAGCTGGGACCCGTTTTAATATCAGTTATGCATTTTTTTTAGTCACGCCTCCTACTGGATGGGACTTGGGTTGACCTCAAATGTATGACGAAAAACTGGGATCGCAAAATTCGTCAATGATTTAGTGTGACTTGACCTTTTAATTCATATAAAAAGTTGGTCGTAAGACCTCAGTGTAAACCAAAGAAGGATCGCCTAGGGGTGATGAAGGCATCTATTTACTGTCATTCGACTCGGAGAACGGTAAGCCGGGACTT